AAAGTGTGCAACGCAGTGAAGGAGACATCTCCGACCCTATAAAGTATATATATTCTTGATCAGGATCACCTCCTGAGTTGATATGAGCATGTCCGTCTGTCCGTCTGTCCGTCTGTCCGTCTGTCCGTCTGTCTGTCCGTCTGTCTGTCTGTCCGTTTCTACGCGAACTAGTCTCTCAGTTTTGAAGCTATCGTCTTGAAACTTTGCACACACCCTTCTTTCCTTTGCACGCAGTATATAAGTCGGAATGGCCGGGATCGGCCGACTATATCCTATAGCTGCCATATAACTGATTGATCGGAAATGGTATAACTTTGGTGTTTGTAAATTTAGAGACTTTAAATTTAACATGAGAGCTATTTTTGGCGACAAATTACGACATGCCAAATTTCATAAGGATCGGCCGACTATATCTTATAGCTGCCATATAACTGAACGATCGGAAATGACCCAACTTTCGTGTTTTTGAAGATAGAAAGCTGGAATTTGCTACAGATTATATTTTTGTTCAGTTAATCCGACCTACGAAATTTCATTAGGATCGGCCGACTATATCCTATAGCTGCCATATAACTGAACGATCGGAAATGGTATTTGGTAGAAATATCAACTTTCGTATTTTTGAAGATAGAAGCTTGGGACTTTTTTTTAGATTTTTTATTGTAATTAATTGGTTTTATTATGATGTAATCATAAGGATCGGCCAACTATATCCGATGTTTGCGATATATATCCAGTTTTAACTGCAAGGGTATATAAACTTCGGCTCCGCCCGAAGTTAGCTTTCCTTTCTTGTTTTTTTATTGGAGTTGCGAGAAATATTTATTTTCCATTATTTTATCGAAAACATACATAGAACTTTAATATTTTTAAACTAAACTCTATTTAAAAATGTACTATTCTTTTTCGAAATTGTACCTTTTTTTGTGTACCTTCCACTCAAACAGACTAGAGACTCTGCCACATAAATACGGCACAAATACCATGGATATGTAGATCCAAAATTAAAAAAAAGAGGCTCTCAAGGACCTGTTAATTTTGTAAAATAAATCCCTAAAAAGACTTGGTTTATAATTCCTTTTAAAAAAACCTAATTCATAAAAAAACTACCTTCCAAGTTTAATTAACCTTTTTTTAAAAGCTAAAAATAAACCCTCAAGCCAATATAAAAAGGACAAAAATGTGATTCCATCGGAATTCAAAGCCAACAAAAAAAAAACTCTTCATTTCGAAATCAAGACGTGCCTCGTTTGATTTTGGTTTCATTTTACATTTGGTCTCAGGTCTCATGTTGCCCTTTTTTATGACAATGATTTAGATTCATTCTTTTGTCGTAAAGTGCGTGAGGTTCTCCTCTCTTTTTTTTTATTGAACCCAATTTTGTCAGCTTGGTTTTTTTATATTTATATATATACGTGCCAATTGGCTGTCCTTTTTTTTGTTTTCCAGCAAGGTCTTGATTTTCTTCTTGACTTCTTTTGTTTTTTGTTTAATTTATTAGAATATTTATGAGCATTTAGATTTTACTAAATTCATCCTGTCATCGATGGTTTTGGGCCTATGAATTTTTTTCCGCTTCAAATAGCAAATATCATTTACATTTTTCACATTCTCTGGAGCCCATTTTGTTTTCCACATATTTTTCCATAAATTGCGTATCCGCCATCGGGGCCAAGGTCAAGGACATGGATCTTGAAGGACTTTTTTTCATCTTGGCTATATAGCTTTTATGTTCAAATGTCTTTTTTTTGGGAGGGTAGAGGTGGAGGAGTAGATTTGATTGGTCCTTGAATAAATCTATAGGCTCATAATCCTAAGAGGATTTATTTCTGGGTTTGGGTAGATATTCTCTGGAGATTTTTCCGTGGGGTAGTGACGGAAAAAAGTCCTTGGGATAAAAAATAATTTGGAAATCCAATATATGGCAAAGTTTAAAAGTTTTATATTTTTAACATTTTGAAAATTAAATATACATAAATACATATAATAGAGATAGAGGTTCTACATTTTTAAAATAAAAATATGCAATAAATAAAGTTAAAAGATTCTTAGAAGTATCTTAATAATAAATTAAAAAAATTAATAAGAAATTTATAACTTTGCTTAAATTTGTAACCTCCTAAATGGCCTTCAAATCTAAAATACCCCATAAAAACCTTTAGAAACGTGAAACCCACAGAACTTTTCATTTTTTTCTTGACTTTTTCATTTCAATTCGAATTGCAGCTATTTTGGAGTGAACTTTTAATCGGGTTTTCCACATAAAATGAACAACTTGAAAGGTTGAAACATTCTACCCACAACCACTTTTCACTCATTTTTTCTTCAGTTTCCCTCCAGTTTCCTCCCGTCCCTTAGGTTTTCTCGCACTTTTCAATTTTCTGCTTGCCCAGCCATTTAATCACCTTCAATTGTCGCTCCTGATGCGATTAGCACAAAAGTCTCACTTTTCTTTTAGCTTCTCTCATTTCTACCCCCCTAGTTCTACCTCTGACACCCCACTCTTCTTGTCTAACACTTTCTCCGCAGTCAGAAATGCTTGTCTCTCCATGTGACATTTTTGCAAAAAACTAGATTCGTTGTCAGGTTTTGTTGCTTAAGCGATTTTCACTGTCCGAAAAATGGTATCTGACAATGAGAAACAGGGGCGTGACTAAAGGGGGGGTCTAAAGGAGGGTATCTAAAGGGTGCAGACGGCAAAATGAAAACTGCATTTCAGTCGCAACTGCGTTGACAACGCAGCATTCCGATGCCGAGATTTTCCGCTTGGAATATCCTTTTGCGGAAGTCCTCGATTCCTCTCAGTTCTCGCACCTCCTGCTACTATTTACTTGGTCCTTTACTTTTTTGTTGGTTTGTTTCTTCCATTGCAGCAGATCCTTATTCTCATCTCCCTGGCGCAACTGTCATATTAAATACTTTTACGAAATTGCAATTTAACTTTCATAGTAAGACAGCAAGGCGACAGGCGAGCTACCCACCATCCTTGCAAGGAAAAATAAACAAAATTTTCTTTAACGGAGAAATATCCAACGGGTAGCTGGGCAACAAATTACAGTGAACTCTTGGCCAAGAGAAAGACCTAAAAGGGTTATAAATATCTATAAATAGATATACATTTAACATTGTTACTTTTTACTTTTAAACTTTATTAAAGATATCTTTAAAATAGTTTATTGATCTATTTTCCTTTTCTTCAGGCCCCACTGTACCAGCGAAAGTACTCCCTTTCTATGGCAAACAAATAGTCCTGCAAGTCCTGTTGCGAGCAAATCTACTGGCAAATGGCGTTCAAACTATTCGCAGCTTATCAATGGATGGCCAAGAAAGGACGAAAGTACCAACAGGAAAAGGGGTATCTAGTGGAGAGGTTGGAGAAGAAGTAAATAAAAAAAAAAAGAGAAAATGCCATCGAGGGTATTGGTTTGGAGGAGTGAACATGTATAAAAAATAACTCAACAGTTGGCAGCAGTTTGAAAAACGGATATGTGGCATGTGTGCGATGCGATAGTTTATTGAAAAGTTTTCTACTTTCTTTTACTTTCCCCCCCAACCAACCACCATCCCCCCCTTTTACATCACTTTCTTTTCCCTTTTTTTTTGCCAAAGCTAAAATTAAAACTTTTTCCAAACGTAGGACGAAGGACTCTGTCACAAAATAGTTTCTCAGTCGTTTTTTACGCTCCATTGAGTTTAGTTCAGATATATTTAGAAAATGTATAGGTATCCCAAGAAAAAGGACTATAAATCTGGGACTGTCTATAAATTTTGTTAAATTTAAAAATTGAAAATTCAAATAACTTGAGCCACAGCTGAGCTACAAAAAAAGGAAATCGAAATTCGTAAAGTTTTCGCAAAAAAAAAAAAAAAAACGCTCAACGCCCCCCGCAAATAGACAAGAAAAGGAAACTGGCGGGAAAGTGAGAATTTAATATGGGAAATTCGCTGGCAATCGAAGGGAAATCAATGCCAGAGACGAGAGGATGAAGTCTCCCTCGAATCGAGACAACTTTTATGGCCAATCCAAGGGGGAAATTAATCTTTGAGCCAATGAATACGAAACAAAAGGATATTTTATAAGTAATTTCAAGTAGAAAAATTAATATTTAAATATTTATTAAGATTTCTTAAAAAAAAGACTATTGTATGATTATTCCTGAAAATTTTTTAAAATACAATTTTTTTTCTCTTTCGGTTTGCAGGCATATTTAACATCATAGACCGCATCGTCCTGCTGAGCGAGATATAATGAGTTTTTTAATAAAAACTGACGGAGCACGGAGAAATGGAGAAATATACAATGCCAGGATAATGCGGGCCAGGAGCCGAGGCCAGGACGACACAGCGACAACAAGGAACGATGGAAAGGACAACCTTGCCACGCCTCCGCCCCTCGAATACCCCCCTCATTCATCAACGCAACCAACACCACCCCCCACACCCCCGAACCGACCATCTCCAGCCACACCATTCAACTATGAATTCAAAATTCAAATATACGGCGTCACCTTTCATTTAAGAAAGAAAATATGGAAGAAGCGGGTAGGGTGGCTGGGATGGCACGATGGCAGGTGGCAGGAGGGGTCAAAAGGTGAAGGAATAAAATTGGAAAAAAGTAGCCGGAGAAAGTGGGACAATAGCAAGAAGGAGGAAAGAAAGAAAGAGAAAAGGTTTACAGCAACTCCAAGTAATTGAAGCGAGACTTTTTTTTTACTTTGGGCTAAATAAATACAAATCCCCAAATTGTAAGACACAAACAGTGCGTTTCATAAGAGTAAATGGCTTTTGAAAAAATGTTACAATTTCATACATCATTTAGGGTTTTTATCATTTGCAAGATTTTGAAATATTTAGTACCTAAATTTTATTTAAACTTGTTCTTTAATTTAGCCATTTGTTTTTAAACTTTTCTATTTTGAATAAAATAAATAAAATTTTACCAAAGAAAATCTATTTTGTAGAATATTTTTGTAACTTTTTTGAATTTTTATTCAACACATTATTTCTTTATTTGTTAAAATACATATTAGTGTAGTTTTTCATCCATGGCATCTCTTAAAGTTGAATTTTCTTCCAAAGTTTGATTTAAAATTGTGAATTTATGGAACTGAGAATTAAAATTTTCTTAAATTTCCTTGCTGCGTCTATGCTTCTTGTGTTGTTGCTTAATTTTCTTCACATATTAGTGCAGTTTTCTTCCAAATCTTATTTCAAAGTTTGATTTAAAATTGTAAATTAATGTAACTTTAAAATTTGCTGCGTTCTACGCCTTGTTGCATCTATGCATCTTGTGTTGCTGTTTAATTTCCTCCTGATATTAGTGTAGTTTTTATCCAAAAGTTTGATTTAAATTTGAAAATTGCTTGAATGCAGAGTTGAAATTTTGTAAGGTGCCTTGCTACGTCTATGCATTTTGTGTTGCTATTTAATTTTCTTCACATATAAGGGTATTTTTCATTCAAATCTTATTTCAAAGATTGATTTAAAATTGTAAATTTATGGAACTGTGAAATTTGCTGCGTTCTACGCCTTTCTGCCTCTATGCATCTTGTGTTGCTATATGATTTCGTTGACATTTCAATATATTTGCTATGATTTTTTGATGACTCCTTCGAGCTGTATTTTGATAAGTGGTTTTTCTAGTTATCTCATTAAATTTGATTTCCAATAATCGATTCTTGTATTGTAGAGGCCAGGATGAATATTTAAACGATTCAAATAATACTTAACGAAAATTAATATTTTTAATAACTTGCTAGTGCGCTTATTTGTCCTTGTCCGCTTCGGCGACCACGGGCTTATTTTTGCCAATGCGTATGGCCGCTTGGATCTTGGCGGTGGTTTCTGTAAAGATGCTGTACATCAAATCCAAGTTGGTGTCGATCGATTGCTTGTTTTTCTCGTAGATCTTGGGAATGGTAAACAGCAAGATGAAGGCCAAGACGACCAGAGTCATGGCGTTGAACCAGGCACCAATGTACGTGAAGATCCACAAAATGAAACCGAACTTGATCGAGTCGATGGGATCCTCAACCAGGAACAGGCGCCTCATCTCGGCGACAAAGGCATTGGTGTATGCCACAGCCCCGACGGCAATCTGTTGAACGTTCTCCGGCGACAGGGACAGATCCAAGATCCATTCCAAGTATTTCTTGAAGTTATCCGCATCATTTGTCTTGAACACGGCCTGTTTGACAGATTTGTAGGTTTTGATTACCACGATGTCCATCAAGATGATGAGCGACAATGTGGCGAACACACTGAAGGCCGAGAAGATGGTAATGGCCAACAGCAACATCAATCCGGCGCTGAAAACAAAGGCCGATTTTTTCACATCGCGCCAGTAGATGATGGACTCCACTTGCGGGTGCAAGATTTTGGGCTTCAACCAAGCCTTAGGATCAAAGATGGAGCGAATGAGGGAGAGGGGTTTGCCCACACCGGTTTCGCCAATTGTAGCCATTATTATTTTTGGATAATTTTTTTTTTGAAAAAAATTTTTTTTGCTTTAAATTATTTTAAAAGTAGAAATGTAGTCAATGGGCCGATACTTCAGACAATGTGCCGACAGTTGAGGTTGACAGTAAACTGAGAGGTATATTTTTATTTTTTTCCTGATATCGTTCCTGATTGAGACAAGCCTACTTTAATTGAAAAATTTATCTGAAAGTCTTGAGTATAAGTTTCATATAATACTCTCATGATCTGCACCGTTTATCATTATTAAGAGCCACCGTTATAGAGATATACATATTTATATTCCTTTATAAACATTTTGAGTTGTATATATATTTATGGGTATATGATTATGTAAGTATATAGTCTTATGTTTGCTGACCAAGTCAGTTAGCTGATATTTTGTTGACCTTTTGCTGAATTTTAAACGCCATTTGGCCTCCAGGTGCGAATGTCGTGACTTGAATTCCTTTGCCTTTTTCCTTGAGAGCGCCCAAAACTTTCTTTCCTTTTTACTTTTACTTTTACTGTTTTCTTCAATTTCTTCATTTACCTTGTCAGTTTCACCTTTTGCGGTTGACCCACCAAAATAATACCCCCCAACAAAAAAAAAAAAGAAAAGAAAAAACAAACAGAAAACTCGGGTCAATAGCCGGTAGGCTTGGTTATAAAAAAATACGATATTATTAGAGAATATTAGAGAAATGTATATGTTTTGTATAAAAACACAATAAATATTTTAGTTTTTTAACAAATTTCCCTTTAATTAAAGTTAAATTCCGAGCAGAGATTTAAAACCTTAATTAAAAGCTTTAAATATGCAAGTAATATGCCGAGTATAACCTTTCAACTAATTAATTTTTAATTTAGAAACAATCTTCTGGCATCATTAATAATGCATTAAAATATGCACTTTAATTAATAATAATCTACGTTCTAAAAAATCATTTTATATAATTTTTCTGACGAATTTTTAATAAATTACTAAACTTATCTTAAATTATCATAAAAATACAAGAAAAAATTTATTTAAAATTTATCTCAATAAATATTTTATTAAATTTAAAAAAACCAACCCACTTTCCATTTAAAATAATATTTTTGCCTCCAAAACCTGCCCAACCTTGTCTATCAATTTGAAAGTGTATCGTATCGCATTACAATTTCGCCCCCCAAAATGCGGATGCGAAGGACCTTCGGCTTCCTGCGGGCAGGAAGTGAGCAAAAGGACATTAGGGAGGATGATTGGGGGAGGAGCGGGTGGCGGACGAAAAAGGAAGCCAGGATAAGCAGGTTGCCAAAGCTCCGATTGGCCTTGCCTTTGATGTCGTTCAAAATGGTTGAAAATGCATATTAAATGTGTGGACTAAGTGGGTTCTCCCTCAAATGCCCAACAATTAGCTAATAGAGCCAGAAAGATATTAAATAAATGTATATATTATATTAAATGCTAGCAGCCAAGGGCTAAATATTTCTAGAAACTTTACTACTTAAAGCCATTAACAAATAAAGGCCTCAAGAGACGTAATATTTTAAAGAAAGCAAGAAAGCAACATCTGCAAATCATTTTATATGAATTGTTTTTATTGTCTCTTTCACTCGTTGTGCTTCCTTAATTTTCAACTTGAAAAGTTTTCATTTCATATTTTTTTTATAAGCACAGTGGCATTAAGTGCCAAATGGTAAAGGGTATCACGAAATTATAGCGGTTGTTTTAGACAATTTCAAGATTAAAATTAAAAAAAAAGAAGGTGCCCTATGAGGTTCGAAAATCCTTTCTACTTTAAGAAATAAGCTTAAGTATTTATTTTCATTTATCTTATATATTCTTATACTGGAAATTCTTTTGGTATATCCCTTGATTTCCTAATTTTTGATATATGTTTTGTTTTTTGTGTGAAATATAAAACACCAGCCGTTGCATTCTCCCCGAGACATGAATGAACAATAACGTAACGAGACTTGAGAAAGTTGCGTTAAACAAATTAGAAAGGAAATACGCTGGCACACACACACACCCAATCTAACACACATATGAGTTCCACAAAGGAAGCAGAAGGCATCAGGATAACGGAGGCTGTCAAGGATGGAGTTTTCGTTTTGTTGTTTTTTTTTTGTTTTTTGGGGGCCGTGTCGGTTGCTTTGGCTATTTCATTCTTGAAGTGCGCACTTCACTCGAGTAATTTGCCACGACACGCGCACTCACACTCGCACTTACACTCGCACCCAAACCAATACACCTCATACACGCATCCGCACACACACATACAAATAGATATCAGCTCACGCACGCTCGCCCAGCTGGCAGCCATTTTGACACAAGCACACGCAGGAAACGCAGGGATGTATGCTATGGGTTTTGGAAAAAACATGATTTTAAAGAGGATTCTTTCATAAAGATCTCTTTTTTTAAACAAGTCTTTTTTAAACATTAATTATTTTTCCATAAAATATATTGATTTTCGGTTCTGGTATTTCTAAATCAAACTTGTAGTTTCTTCAGTTTCTCAATCGGAATCAGCACCCTCGGCCCGCCCCTGGCTATGCCGCACATGTGCTGACATTTAGATTGAAAAACGAGCCGAAAAGCAAAGGCAACATATAATCGAAAAATGCTTCGCCGAGGGGAAATGATACAAAGCAATGTTTTCGTATAGCTGCCGCCAGAGGGCGTTACAGGTGCGTGTCTACAACTCAGTGTTTGTGAGTTGTATATGTATATATGTGTGTGTGTGTTTGTGCGTCTATGTATGCGTGTGGCAAGTGAAGTGAAGTGAAGCGTATGCTAAATTTTTATTGAAGTGCATACAAACAAACATGCCCGAAAGGCAGCTCACTCAGCCGGAGGGAAAACTGTTGACACTGCCCCCGTAGACTTTTTCCAAACCAACCAACCAACCACCCACCTGCCTGCCTTCCACCCCCCCTATCACCTTGCTTAATGCCCAAGCTTGTCGCTGGTAATTTTCCCGTGTTACAACAAACAACAACAACAAGAAAGCAGATAAAGAAGAAGAAAGCGGATAAAATCGGAGTCGACGAAGTCGCTAAAGTCGCAGACGCAAAATCTACCTTAAATACAATTTAAAACCGTAGAAAATACACTCAGAAAAAAATAGTTGGAAATTAATAATAATGATTTCCAGTATATGTACGCCAGTACCCTTAGAAAACCCTTCAAACTCTTATTTTTGCCCTAAAAAATAGCCAATATATAGACTTCCGGAAGTTCTATATTTCGAAAAACACATATTTCGGAAAAAATAATTCGAAAAAATTTAAAATCGTGAGGAAGAATTTGTATTTTTAAACATAAACTACATAATGTATTACTTTAAAATTATTTAATTGTTATACATAGTTCGAACCAGTACTATATGTTATGGTTATAATATCATGGCTTAAAGATCAAACTATGATTATTATATGTATATTTTAGAGAGAATGCCCTAAGTTTCATTTATTTTATTTTATTTATTTTTCATGCGATTAATATTAAAATATTGGAACTGATTTGTTTTATTGATAAATTATTTTATCAGTTTTAAACCTCACAGACTATATTATTGTATTTATATTATATAGACAACAATGATTTGAGAAACCATTCTAAATTTCAAACTCTAACGTTAATTTCTAACTAAACTGCTGTCTTAGTTTTTATTTTCTTAAATCAAGAATATAAGTTTATTATATAGAGGTTCTCTTTTTTCAGTGTTTTTCAGGCATTACATTGGCATTGACACGGGGCGCAGAAAAGCAAGTCAAACAAATCGAGAACACCTACAGAGATAACTACAAAAGCGATCAAAATCACACATAAATAGAGAAGTAACTAATACGAATATCAAGTACACTTCAAAGTGGAAAAATACATTGTTTTGAAAAATCTTTAAAAATAGAGTATAAGCCTAAAATAAATAATATACAAATAAGTGTAAAATGAAGCATACTATTATAGTAATAATAAAAAAAGTAAATACCGAATCAAGTTCTAATAATATTTAAGACTTGCTTCTTAAAAACCTCTTACAAAAATCTGTTATAAAATAAATATTCTTTTAATTTCATTCGCAAGTCTTTTAAAAAATACGGCGTTATCCAAAAATATATTCTTTTGAAGGGCAAGAGACCTGCTGTCTCCTGCTGGTTTTCGCTGCTGGTGTTTGTAATGGCATAGTGGTATTGGTATATGGTATTGGTATTGGTGGTGCCACTGACTCAAAGGCAGGAGGAGAGCGTTAAGGGAGGGTGGCTCTCACCCAGTGTGACATTGCCACTGCCACTGATGATGGCGATGCCACCGACACAAAAGTTGAGTTCAAACACTCAATCATTTTTACACCCCGGCTATATGTACACACACACACACATACACCACACAGGTGCAAAAGTGTTGACAGGAACGGCAAACAGGTGCAGTGTAGCGTATTTGACTATAAATAAATTTTCAATATTTTTCCCTCTTGCCATTTTTTTATGCTTTTTGTTTTTGTTTGCAAGTTTACCGCAAAAAACAGAGAGGGAGATGGGTGGGAGGGACGAAAGGACAACCGAGGGAGGGGTTTTTGAATTTTCTATTAAATTTCTATTGGTTTTTTTGTGGCCTGTTGCGCGTTAACTGAATTCCAATTGAATTTAATTATTTTTCCTTTTTTTTTTAAAGCTTAGAAAACATTTTAAGCTTCAGGAGGGGGAGCAGTGGGTGGGTGGTGGGATGGTGTTCAGGTAAAAAATTTAAAATGTTTTTCAGTTGCTCAGCAAAGCGGAAATTTTTGTGTATTCACAAAAAACAGAAAAAAAACGCGGCAAAAAAAAACGACTCAATTTCAAACACTTTCAATGGAGATTGGAGAATGCTGCTGGAGAGGTTGCTGCTCTCGCTTTATTTATTATTAAATATAAATAATGAAAAATCAATAGAAATTTATTTATACATATTCATCAATATGTATACAAATTGCGACCATCGATGGAGAAGGACATCATCATCCAGCGACATCATCAAAATGAACAACAACATCCCAATAGAGTCCCCCCCACAACACACACATACAAAGTTCATGAGACAC